AGACTGACAAAGCATGTCCAAAATACAACATTTTCAAAATACAAGATGGCTGCCAGTCGGCCATTTTGAATCGAATCGCTAAACCACTGAATGTGCATATGTCCCACATAAAGTACTAGGCACATGCAAAGAATGAACGGAATCGGTCCAAGGGATTCTGAAATATGACTCCGGACGGACGCACGGACACACGGACGGACGGAGACCGAATTATAAGTCCCCGTTTTCGAACTTCGTCCGAAAGGGGACTAATAAATTGACTTTTTTGGTGGAGTCGAAGTTTGGGTGACGTTACTCTAGGTCGCGCATGTGCACTCTCAATGAGGAAGCTTCTGTTATAGATGTATTTGCTATGACCAGAAGCAGTTTTTGCTGGATAGTCAGATAAGCCAGTTTGTTGTCACAGTGTAGTACGGTATATGCTGTAAGCAAAGACTGTTTCTGTACGGGTTCTTGATATTCGAACAGTTTATTATTGATATATTTGTTAGTAAGTTAATATTTGTATGGGTCTTTGATAGTTTGACAAGACATATTTCATGTGAATTTGTTGCCATGCCATGCGCAGAGATTTCCTGATAGTCAGATGAGGCAGTTCATTTATGTTAATCCTGTGTTCAGAGGTAGTCTCTTTATGGGATCTTGATACCCAAAACACAGTAATACCAAGCATTGCTTCAATTGGCATTATCTCACATAAACTAAATCTCAGAGTGATGCCACTAGAATATTTCGATTTTTTATTTATTAACTCAACGCAAATACAGGCAAATAAATAATATTTCTAATGGAATCGCAATGTATGTATCAAAACTATATGCCTCCACTGTACCTACATTTTTTACAAGTAGTCGTTCTGGACGTTTGTTCTAGAATAATATTATAGTTATTGCAGCTATATAATAACTACATAGAATACATACATACAGAAAACTACTTAGACTTAGAACTAGAATTCCTTTGGCAATGCTTGGGAAACATAAAGAAAAGAAAATTACTTTATATGATTCTATATTATCAGGGCAGTTTATTTAAAATTTTATGAACCTGAGATACACCAAAACAGAATAAGAGTATAATATTGTAATTTGTTGGTGTCATATGTGCATATTAACATGGCAGACTACAATAAGTTATGGCACATCCTAATTTGCATATTAACATGGCAGTCTACAATGGGGTTATAACACATCCTAATTTGCATATTAACATGACAGACTACAATGAGGTTATGGCACATCCTAATTTGCATATTAACATGGCAGACTACAATGAGGTTAGCACATTCTAATTTGCATATTAACATGGCAGACTACAATGAGGTTATGGCACATCCTAATTTGCATATTAACATGGCAGACTACAATGAGGTTAGCACATTCTAATTTGCATATTAACATGGCAGACTACAATGAGGTTATGGCACATTCTAATTTGCATGTAAACCTGGCAGACTACAATGAGATTATGGCACATCCTAATTTGCATATTAACATGGCAGACTACAATAAGGTTGTGGCACATCCTAATTTGCATATTAACATAGCAGACTACAAAGTGCTTAGTAAACATCCTAATTTGCATATTGACATAGCAGACTATAAAAATCTTATTAATTATCCCAATTTCCATATTAGTATAGCAAACAAAGATTAAAAGAGGACTATTATGATGTACGACTTAACACAATTTGCATATTAAAATGGCCAACTACAAATAGCAGACTAATTGACATGAATAGTATCAAGAATACACAAAATACAGGCATGCAATTCAGATATCCATGCACTGCTACTTATGATGAAGATCCCATTTTATACATCAAATATACTTTCAACCAATAGAAACACAGTGGACACTTCAAAAGTTTGATTGGTTGAACAGAAATGAATAAAGATTTAATATTATTGAGCTTGAAAAAAAACATACACTTTTTACGAATAAGCAAAGGCGAACACTAATCAGTTCTTTCACAGAGTCACTTATTTGCATTACTATTTTTTTAGAAATGTTTTTTCTTGCAAATTTGAGATCATTTCACAACTCGCATGATTTTAAACGGGATTCTTCATTACATATCACATCAGTTGCATACCCTTATTTTATACACGCTTGATATTATACATATTATTCTATAAATATATATATGAATTTATGCTCATCTCGGCACTCTAAGAGTGATTATTATTAATATATAGAAATACCTATCTTTACATATATGTATAATCACAATTTAGTGAAAGACCAGTTTTAATTTTAATTTTAACTTGGAACAAAACTACACCAGCTGTAATATGAAATTTAGAAAAGAATTGTTATTGACAGAATACCGTTAAAAACAATGTAAACTTATCCCTATAAAAACAAATACAAACTCAGTACAATTAATTGCAAGTTAACTACAAACATAGATTATAACATGCGATAAAATATGTATTGATTAAAAAATTAAAAATTAAATAAGTGAAAAATCAAAAAAAATAATCATAAATTGTGTGTACTATAAATACCATGAAATCTGGCACCGATATTTATGTTTTATAATATGTAATCGATGGTTGACAACTATTTGACCAATAAGAGTGATTGTACACATCCACGGCAGTTTTAAGGTATACATACATTTTGTATAGTACAGGGAAGTACCAATAGGCATTCTTATAGCCATTAACGTCTTCTTGTTTTGATTTGAACGAAACCTATTTATAAAACTGTTCTATAACTTTACAGAAAGCATATTACAAAAAATAAAATATTTAAATAAATAAACGTTATACTAATATATTTACTGGCTGGAATTTCACCATTCTAGTCATGTGGAGAAAGTGCAGAAAACGATTTTTATCGATATTTATGTTTATACACGAGTCAATACGTTGATTAACTTTGGTCTGTTTATATTCGCTGGATAAATATCCACAGAATTTTAAAAACAAGAGGAGCTATAATTTACAATCTAATCACTAGAGGGCATTATATTCACTGATGATTGCAAGATGTGCAGAACAATAAAGCATCACAACTTTAGTTCAGTCTGTTAAAAATCAGAAGTGTTGCCCCTTATAGCGAGAGCAATATACTATATTGTTCTTTATGGACTGAATACAGCTTTTGCTGCCCTCGGTCATACAGCTTACATTTCTAATTAAATACTTGAAACAGCCTGGCATGTTTTACAGAATGCTTGGGAATGGTGTAAATGAGCAATACTAGTAGTTCAAGTGTGACTTCTAAGGCAATATAACACACTACTAATGGTTAGTGCGCCCTCTAAGGCAATATAACACACTACTAATGGCTAGTGCGTCCTCTAAGGCAATACAACACACTACTAATGGTTAGAGCGCCCTCTATGGCAAAATAACACACTACTAATGGCTAGTGCGCCCTCTAAGGCAATATAGTACACTATATAAATAGTAAACGACTAATGGTTAATGCACCCTCTAAAGCAATATAACACACTACTGATGGTCAGTGCAACCTCCAAGCCAATATAGCATGCCACTGAGACACACAGTTTTGATTTGATGTAAGCAGTTGTGCCAATTCACTTGCACATCATTAACATGACAGAAAATCATACAATGAAATAGTGATTTTGAAAAAACTTCTCACTATAGTTATTGATTTTGTAATTCAGTGATCTAATTACTGACATATCGTATGACCTTATTTTCAGTGACGTCACACATTGTGATTATTCAGTCACTAATCTCCAACACTGGTTTACAATTACACAAAATATTTGAATACTGTAAAACCATTTAGTTTCACCGACATTTAATTTCACTATTTCACTATGCTTTAAACTATTTCACTGGAGTCTATTTCCACTGTTATTTTACATGTTCATGTATATTTACTTTAGCGGATTTTTCTTTTACTAGCGAAATTAAAAACCTATGAATAATTAATACATTTACAGTGGTCAACTCGGGAGTGTTTACAGTTTTGTTGCACCCACTTTGCCATATATCAACTTCAAGGACATTTTCCGATACTACACATTATTTACTTTACTATTTAAAGAGAAGACAGTACATGCATGTTTTATCGATTATATAACTCAAACAAAGAACGGTAAATAATTTTTCATTGAAAGAGAAATAACATAATAGAAAATAAACTCAAATCGGTTAACGATTCAAACTCATGGACCCTAAGGGGAATATGCTGGAGGAGCCTCTTGCTTGGTCTCAGCAACTGTTGTTGTTGTGACGCCACCACCACCACCACCACCGCCACCACGTTCAACTGCATGTGTTCTACCGGTACGCCATTCTCTGAAGAGAAAATATCCTTCCACTCCATAAGCTACCATGGCAAAGAAACCGAACGCCTAAAAGACAAACAAAATCGAGAATTCCATCAATTACTTAAATTACAGTCAATATAGAATATACAATCCAGACAACAACAAAGTTTAAGAACACTGAGTACATTTCTAAATACACACAAAAATACACGCAAAGCCTCCTGATCACTGTGCATGTTATGTCATTAGAATTACTGCATTTTTTTCTATTAATAGCGCATGTGTTTATGTAAATAGCAAAGGTCATAATGTAAGGTCATAATAAATTATATTGCAGTAATCCAGTATTCAATAAGAGTGCCACTAGAATATGTCATATTTATCTGTTTAATTTTTGAAGTGCTATCATTTTTTTCCACCCAGATTTCAGTGATGACATTTGTCCTGTTTTTATAGTTTGTTTTACAATTTTGAGCTAAATATTTTGTGAATACATGTAGTAAGAAAAGTTGACTTTGGGGTCAAGTAAGGCAACTTCTATTTTATTACAGACAAAGCAGTCAAACAAATACATGAATGGATGATAACAACCTTTTCTAATATCCAACAATTCAAATTAAAATGAGTTAATGGATTTAAAAGCAGGCATTATACCATATGGAATGGTATAACATAAACTTTAGATGGATTCTCTAAACTGAGACGTAATAAATCAGAATGAAATGGAATGCATGACCTACCACAGGATTGTATATTTTCATCATGATTTGTGAGGTAATTATTAACCTTTCTACCCCCAGTTCCCTCTTTTCATCACAAATTCACAAAATATTCCCGTTTATAGTTCGCATTTTGAGTAAAAACTGAAAGTTGACTCAAATTGTGTCTGTTGGCTCAAAAATTAGGGTTCATTTCTGGAAATATTGAAGAATTTAAGAAACAAGCAGCCTCTCGGCTGAGATAGCTCCGCTGTTAGCAATGCACATTTCAATTAAAGAACAGACGATATCATTAGAAATGAATAATATGTATAGTATCAAAGCAATGGGACTTGCTGTTTTCAACAAGAATTCAAAAATATCATTTTTCACCATAAATGATTGTGGTTTTTAACAAGAAGTAGAAAATATCACTTTTTACCAAAAAATGACAAAATATTCAGTAAAATTAGAAAATTAAAGATATCATTACAAAATGAAGAAATCTGAGAGAGGTACATATGTAGTACCTATATATGTAATATCAAAGCAATTGGACATGCGGTTTTAACAGGAAGTCGAAAATATCATTTTTTACCAAGAATGACAAAAATATTCACCAAAATTAGAGAAATGAAGATATCATTACAAAATGAACAAATCTGAGAGAGGTCCACATGTAGTACCTATATATGTAATATCAAAGCAATTGGACTTGCGGTTTTTAACAAAAAGTCGAAAATATCACTTTTTACTAAAAATGACAAAAATATTCACCAAAATTAGAGAATTGAAGATATCATCATGAAATGAATAAATCTGAGAGAGGTCTACCCAAGGTACATATACACCAAGTATCAAAGCATTCAGGCTTATAGTTTTCAAGAAGAAGTCAAAAAAGTAAAACATTGACACGGACAACGACGGACAATCACTCATATGATAAGCTCCGCTCGACAAAGTCGACAGCGGAGCTAAAAAAAGCTATGAAAACAAGCACAGTAAATCACTTACCGCAGCAGCCCCTAAACCGCCATTTCCGTAGGTAGCTGCAGCAACACAAGAAGAACCAATCAGATAAAATATGAATGCAATCGTAGTATAGCATAACTCCTGTAGATAATAGAACACAACAATTTTAAATAGATTTGATTCACAAAAAGGATAATCTATCATTAACATAGTTAAACCATACTTAACTTTTACCCATTGGGCATGGAATAAACTTTGACTTGTCAACTTGGTATCAAAGAAAGCTTACAAAGAACTCCCATGTGCTGAGAGTATTGGGGACACATTAAAATTAATTCAAAATTACTTGTACTTGAGATATTGATGGAAAAGCTGAAAACTAATTATGCAAATCAGAAAATTAATATGAACAAATTTGAGTGTAAAACTAATGAGATCTGCACAATGTAACAGACCATCTATGTAGGAAGTTTTATTGAAATGTGATTAGAACCAAAAAATTATGAATTATTATGCTAATTAGGGAATTAATATGATTTTAACCTCAAACTAATCAGGTTTGTACTTTGTCCTAGAGCATCTTTGTACTACGTTTCATTGAAAAGGAATAATTAGTACTTTAGATATCAGTGTGATAGCTTAAAATTGGTTAATTATGCAAATTAGGTAATTAATATGTACAGATTTTAACCCACAATTAATCAGGTCTGTCTATTATCCTACAGCACCTATGTACAAAGTTTCATTGAAATGTAATGATTAGTACTTGAGATGCCAGTGTGAAAGTTGAAATTGGTTAATTATGCAAATTAGGTGACTAATATGCATAAATATTTACCGAAAACTAATTGGTCTTCTGCATAATTCTAGATTCTTTGAAATGTGATGATTAGTACTTAAGATATCAGTGGAAAAGCTGGAAATTAATTAATATGCACATCTATTTACCCTAAAACTAATCAGGTCTCTACATAGTCCTAGAGGATCTATGTACCAAGTTTCATTGAAATGTGATGATTAGTACTTGAAATATCAAAAGCTGAAAACTAATTATGCAAATTAATATGGTAATGAATATGTACTCATATTACCCTAAAAACTATCACGTCTGTGCAGTGTCCTATGACATATATGTACAAAGTTTCATTGAAATGTGATATCAGTGGAAAAACCGAAACTTAACTAATCATTATGAAAATTAGGTGATTAATATGCACAGATTTTTACCAAAAACTCATCAAAACCTAGCATTAGTTCAGAGCATCTATGTACCAAGTTTCATCAAAATCCAATGAGTGGTTGTTTAGATATCAGTGGAACAGTCATGGAACAGCTAAAAATTGGCTAATTATCATGTAAATTAGGTAATTAATATGCACAGATTCTTACCAAAAACTAATCAAATTGATTGAATTACATATGTATGAAAGAGGTGTTACTTACGATAAATAACCATGGTAACGGTACTCTGTAAAGACACTTGGTCATATAGTTAAGTATAAGAGTACCCGTACATGACAAACAGAAGCATGTGACAAATTGCAGAAATCTGTATGATGACCAGTTTTTGCCCCAATACCATGGTGACGCAGATATACAGATAAGACATAACAGTGACAGAATCTGTAAAAAGAACAAAACAAAAATATGTCAAATCAAAATTAAAAGAGCCAAGAATACAAACAAGTTATCGTCTATTTGAATGCCAAAGTCAGTTGCTGTTACCTTAACCAAATAAATATTGAATAAATAATTTTCATTGATCAAAACATTTTGAATAAACTGAAATGAGATGAAAGAGTCTAGAGAACAGACGTATGTATGAAAGCCTATTCACTATGGTGAGTTTATTTATTCATATTTCTAATTTTTCCTGGTTACACCAGATGAAAAAGTTGTATATTATTGATATGAAATCTAAAATTGTGAAACCATTTCAACAAATTGACATATAATTTAGTGAGATTCCGGGGTGATACTAGTTTTCCATTACCGTAGTTATCCAGGTGCCCGGTTACCCATGCCCGGGTAAACGCACCCCCCCCCCTCCAATTTTGATACAATAAAGAAATTGAGGTCATGTTTTGGCATACGCCTAGGGTGGTGTTTACGTAATTTAAAAGTGTCGCACTCATTCAGATTTAACGTCATCGACAAAGAAACCAGGGTTGCACTATTGTAGCAACCCATATCTGAGAGAGTGGTTGAAAGCACATTGTTTTGGCTTTATAAAATATTTGGTAGCACCTTGGGAATCCATAACTGGGGTCAGCAATTTTGTAATGTCACGCCAAAAACTGCCAACTGGGAATGTGTAATGGTAAAAACTGCTTTTTCATTACAGCTATTGCTTTTTTTTTTTATTTTATTATATTATTTGTCTGTTGCTGGAAAAAAAATTCTACCTATTTCCATAAAGTAAGACATTCCAACCGCCGGAATTTGCTGAGTGATAACTTTGACCATGATTGATGAGCGTCTAGTCTGATAGGAAAGCAATGTTGACTTGACCTCTATGATGAAACACTAGTAATGATGTCATTCTTAGCCAATCTGTAAAGCAGATGCTTAAAGGTCAAAGATGATTGACACACTGTAAACAAAAACATCGTCTGCCATTGTTGCACACGAACGCATTTTTCTTGTCTCTTTATTATGAAAAAAGACAATTTGAACAAGACAACGCGTTATAGACTGGGTTAATCGGGCGTTGGAAACTGTGTCCACTGATGTAGTCAGAAAGTCATTCCTCATGACAGCCATTGCAAATGATTTAGATGGTTCTCAAGATGATTTCAGAGAAAATTGTGTGTGTCGATATCAACGAACTTCAGGACGAAGCTGTAGGGATTTTGTTTGACAATGACGGTGACACTGACGCCGACTTTGAGGGTTTTAATTTCGTTGAAGATGGCATTGCACGTACAAATAAAGATCTGGGAAGTTTTTTCAAACAACTATGAACTTTCGTAATTTTTACTGTGTAAATTATTATTGATCTTGTACATGTATGACTGTTTATTCGGTATTTGTCAAAACCGGAAATAATTTTACGCAGTTAGACCCCTGACATTTAAGTTCATTTTGAGTTCACATGTATTGGGCGTGTTTGCGGTGGAGAAATCCTAATTCAAATGATCTTTCACTGTCGATTTTTATTAATTCTGGTTTATTTGCCACATTATAAGCAATAAATTATTTTTGTTTATACTTCTAATGTTGTATATTGTTCAATTATTTATGTTGCGTGTTTTCATTTGCCATTTTATTCCATGCCGCAGTTTGATCTGCAGGATGTCCATTTTCACGAATTTTCCTTTTTTATTGCAGGAGATATTATTTGTTAATTTCCCATGTTCAGGACTCTGGGCCCTTAAATGGATAACTATGGTATAAACAATAGGAGGTTATCTCCCATGATGCATTGCAGATATGTGCAGTAACATGCTCAGCAGTGCAAAATTTGGGTTCCAAATGGTCCCTTGCAAAATGAAGTGGAAGAAATATAATTTTTTCAAGTGCATTGAATTAACCCATCTATAAAAAAGATTGTTAATTCATCTGACTATAAGACTGGAAAGTTTGAGTGATATAGGACCTTTTTATATAAAAACGTTGCAGTTTTTGTGACCTTACTGCAGATAGTAAGTGCAGAGTTGACCTAGTTAAATATACATGAATAAAAGTGTGACCAGTCACATTTCAACACCAACATTTTAAAACCATGAAAGTCAATGACATAGTCCCAGTCTGTTTTTTAGTTACTGTGTCAATTAAGAACAATGACAGATGTAGATTATAATCAAATGTTGTAGGAGTATTCAGCATGTTAATGTGTTATCCATCCAGTGCAGAAAAATCTAAGTATGATGAAAGAAAGCTTAGAAAGAACTCCTGTGTGCTGAGAGTATTGGAGACACATTAAAATTAATTTCAAAATTAATTAAGATTAGCCTTTCAAACGAGAAACTAATATTTGTCTGCTATTTGAGATGCACAACATAAACACTATGTGATTCATATTATCGAAATTTATAATACATACAGAAAATACATTTGATTTTATGTCTGTGGTTTTCAGTCTAATTAATTCCAGGGTACCTCAATTAACATCTGATTTTTTGAGATAATCAATAGGCATGTATGTCACCATTCAGCCATCTTGAATCAGATTGTGAAACAAATTGAAGAGCATGTGTATAATATCATGAATGATGGATGTGTTAAGATGCTAAATAATCATCATGATGGTGATGATGATGTAGTGTTCATTTGGTACATGTTCACACTGTAAAACTTTACAGCGCTCCCGAAAAATTGCAGGGTAAAAAACTATTTGCAATGTTTGTTTGTTCATTTAGACTTTTTGCAATTCCAAGTGTAAAAAATATAGCATTTTTTGAAAAAAGGGTAGTTGTCCCAAATGATATTTTTTTCCATCTTCTATTTTGCAACCAAATTCAGATATTGTAGGTGGGATACCAAACAAGAATCTTGCCAATGATATTTTGAGACCTACTCGCTTTACTCTCAGTCCTGTCTCATATTTGAAATTTACATACTGTAAAATGACTAATTTTCACTGTGTTTAAATTTCGCTGGTTTACCATTTCAGGCATATTCAGTGGGTTTTAAATTCACGGTTTTATCATTTAGATAATGTGTTCTATGCTAAATTTTACATATTGACTGGGTTTTAATTTAGCGCATTTTCCAGTCAGCGAAATAAGCAAAATTAAAACCCAGTGAATAATTAATCCTTTTACAGTATTATCAAGCCATATGATGCAACTCAAGCAATGACAACACTCTTTGTGGAAAAGCTGAGGAATGTTTGTGGAAACATCAACAGCCTAAAATGGCGAACTGGGGATTTTTTGTAGATTTTTCCAATGTTAAAATAATATGTTTCTATATTAATTTGCGTCACTTCTAAAAATCCAGGAAATAATTTTTTTTTTTTTACATTTTTACTCTTGTGATCATCAATTTTATTCCCGACTGCTGTAAACTTGGAATTATTACATAAAAACTGTTCTGTTTAATTGGACATAATACTACAATGAATCTTGTAACATTCAGAATTTTATTGTAAAAAAATGATTTCTCAGACACACTACTTCCACGTTGAGGGCGTGGTAAAGCATATAAATCATAGTGATCATTATCCCCTTTCATTTCCTCTGACTATAGTGCAGTGACCCCAAACGACCAGGCTGACACATAGTCACGTGACGTACATGTGACCAGCTCAGGGGGCTATTAATGGTCTCATGCCACTAATTAACCAATGGCTGCTCGTAGCCAATTTAAATGCCTAGCAAGAACCAATGAAATTTTTTAAATATTATTTTTCTCAGGTGCTCCCTGTTTGAGGGCATAATCACCTGGGTAAGAGGTGTGACCCACATGTGGTCTTTTGTTTACTACTTAGCGGCTGTGTACCTGTGGGTTTATTCTGTGTGTTAATGGATGTTCTAATCTTGGTGTTTTTCCAGTGATTTCTCTTGGTGCAATCCAAATACAGTAGGTGTGTCTTGTTTACCTGAGATTTGCAAGAGTTTGAGCTGGCCAACATGTTAGTTTATTTCATATGGTTGATTACTGGCATGTTGATTTCCCATTTTTGATCCATATTTTCAACTTTCTTCGTCATTTTCATATAGCAATCTCGTCATATGTTAACATTGTCGTCTATGGAAATTCAATTAGTGGTATGAGCCCTAATGGACTCATGTGACATCGTTGTTGTCATAATAATAATAAATAATAATAATGGTTTTTAAATTGCCCCTCTCCCAAATCAATTTGTTTATAGCCCATGAATATGAAAGCATATAAAATGGGAGGCAAATCGTTGTCGTTACAAAACCAAGCCCATGTAGTTAGCAGCACACCCAAGTCTGGTCACGGTGCACTGTATTAGTAAGACATTGTAATATGATATATACCGATAATTTATATCACCCATTTGCCGTCACTGAGCGATGCAACTATGCTTCTAGCAATGACCTCGAATTAAATACTCACGATCTGTACGAGTTTCATGATTCCGTGCATGGTTTTAATGGGATAACCCCAATCACATGTGATAAATCCATAATCACGAACAAGACCTGTACTTGTTGTTGTAGTCGTTGTGGTCACCGTGGTCTGCTGGCTTGCCGCTGGTGGAGGAACACCTTCTGGATCGTATTTATCGGCCATTTTGAGTGTTGATATTATCCCGACGGCGACACTTTCAAATATGCGTCAGCTTCCCGTTTGCTGTCACAAATTGCGATTACACGGCAATCTAGCCCTGTATTGTTACAAAGCTTGTTGCAACAGTTGACAATATGTTGGGACAGTATCGCGGCAACCAAGAGATCAAGCAAAATCACCACACATCAGATGCCAAGACGTTCTTAGCAGAGAAACTGGAGCTACTATAATCGGTCACATGACCGGGGTCAAAGTTCGCTTTTGTGAAAGTGCAATACCCTGAGTGGCTCTTGTGTTCCATATGTAGTCGTCGTTCGCTTTGTCGGTGTGAAAACAGAATGTGATATTAAATATATTAGAGCAATCAAAGTTATAATATCAAATTGTGTTCATAGATTTACACGTTACTTTAATTATGATTTATTTGGTGGGCGTTTTCTGTTTATTTACTTTACCAGTCTGAAGAGTGGCTGAAATTTCTGATTTGCTTTGCAATCTCTAAAACCGGTTACCCGCATATTTCACGTTGACAAAATCACCAATTTTATGCATCGTCATATGGTAGAACAGAATAATGTATTTGACTCAATGCATTGGTGCTACATCATTTATAATGAAAGAACACGACAAAGACACAACAATGATACAAGACCTCTCGGATGAATCAACGCATTTATGACTGCCGTTCTATTGGGAGGGTCGTCACCTGCGCACGCACGGGAATTCAGTCTCAAGCGACGGTTACAACACACGCTATTAACGCAAAGGCTTCGTGAGTAGACGCTTGTTTGCAAACAATGATGCGCTATGGCCATTTGACGCATGCGCAGATGACGACTCTACAATACTCTACATCTTCTATTTTGCACCCAAATACAGATACTGTAGGTGGGATACTAACACTTTGCCAAATAATAATATTAATGGTAATACTACTAGAAATACAATTCGAATTAATTAGAAAAAGTTATAGGGGCAATGAATTTCAATTGTTTGCAATTGTTTCTATTGTTGTTTGTGCTCAGAATACTAATTCCTTTAGTGGACTGACGGTTCAAAAACGATATCCTGACTGGTGTGGTTACATTTGCTCGCGTAATGGTCATTTTGCTCAAGGTGTGTGCAATGATTTTCACCCTGACCTTTGAGATACAGCTGACTGGTGATATATCAATTTCCTTGCTTACATCAAGGTTCTAGAAATATATTTTTTGTTTGTTTGTTGGTTGGTTCGATAGGCAATAGTTTGTAATTTGAAGTAGGTATGATAGTGGCATGTTAAATTTATTCGATGACATATATGTTCTATAACATATTTATTTTTACTAGCTCTATGAAGAGTGCTACTACGGAGTGTCACTCATTTTAGAGATTAGATTGCTTTAATAATTTATTTGTGTATTTTTTTTTTTTTTTTTTTTTATACATATTTATTTATTTGTGAATTTTAAGTACATTCATTCAAGTTATTTTCAAAATATTGTCTTGTTAACAAAAATTCTTTATTGTTGCAAACACCCTATGTAACCTACTCTTTTTTACACGGGAACAATAAAGTTCATTCATTCATTCTCATCTCAGAACCCCAGACATCAACGTAGTGGTACTCGTTTACGCCTAAAACGCTGAGGGCGCTGTACATAAAACACATTTATTTACCTGCCTTTTTGTGTTGTTATTTCCAATATTTATTGTGAACGTCAGGGCGCACTCAGAATGCCCTTTTTCGATCGTGTAACAAAGTATACACACAATGTGATAATTAACAAATACACTACATTTTTCAAGTTTGTAACGGTTTTTATAGCATAACGGCATCACGAATCTATCATTATTCTGCTTACGCTTAGTCATTAAAATTATTTCTAAATTAGAAAGAACATGGACTAATTTAAATTGTAGAACGAAACTTCAAAATAAGCCCACAAGTCAATTTTAGCGAGTTTAAATGAGTGTGGATTATACTTTTCCTATATAATTTTATTCCTGCAAATGTTTCTCAGAATAGATTTATTTTCCTTCATTGACCCCCCCCCCCTTCTTAGTGCCAGGAATGGTCCTGGATTACTAATTTACAAATCAACGCCCATATTCATGATTTAAAGATCGAATCAGGACGGCACACAAGTCCAAACACATTAGTAGAAAATATAATTTGCATCCTTTAGGGAAAGTTATATTATTAATGAGCAACGGAGATATTACCGTGAACATTTCACTTTTATACGGCATTTCACTCATTAAATGAGAAGTTAGGGAGTAGTTCGTCAGAAGCACGAGTAGAAACGTAAGAGTCATTCAATGGTCTGTCTGTGACTGCGGTCATTCCGGAGATAGTAAAGGCGCCACCTGGCGGTGAGAACTTGTACGTAAATACAATTTGGGGCGGAGACGACTTGCCACCATTGAATTTGTTGCAAAACTGCTCGGTGAACTTCGGTATTTTGCATTTCTCACAGGGTTTGTTTGATATTTCACTTAAAAGAGCTTGATTAGTGATTTATTATGGATGACTCCATGTACGACCCAGCGTACACGCCGGAAGTGCAGAGAGAACAAGCAACTGTAGTGGAAACGACAACGACGACGACAACCCAACGAACTCACACGGAGACGAGTGAGATTGCCTACATTACTCTTCCAGTTGATAAAACATTCATCAAATCGCCGGCTGGAATTTTAAAAGTTGTCGAAATCGTAAGTTGGGTATTTACATGTCAACTGAATTGTCGGTTTCAACTGAAATCCTCCTAATTGACCACCCGCCACCGTTGCGCCAATTGTCCACTCACAAGGACACGTTGAATGCCAGTGATACATTTTAACTGAAGGATGATAGTCGTCAACATATTTGTTAGCGGCCTTCTCATTGTCATTGTTTATGTCGTGTTATCAAATCGACATAACCCCTGTCATCACTACTGCGTCTGGCTATATGGTGACAGCCTGTTAATTTTGTAAACAAACGCTAAACCATTGACTAATTGTTTGCGCTTATTTCGGTGCCCAATGCCCCCAGCGTACAGTCTAATTATAGAGGGACTGTGCCCAGTCATTTGCACGCCAACCTCCGACATGCGACTTTGCAGGGATAGTACACAAGATCGCCACACAATCCCCCATACAATCCCCGATCCCCAGGGATTAGAACACATGCATATAGGATGATACGATTGGGTTTGCCCCCAACCTCATTTCTTACTGTATGAAGGGCTGTACAAAAATATGTATCGTCTCACCACCTGTTAACATTTCCAATTACATCTATGACCCCCCCCCCTTACATACACAATACACAACTGCAACCACCATCAGACGACTGTATTGAAATGATCTCAACATACTGTCATACACACACTGCTTATATTATAGGAGTTAGTCACTTCTTGCTGTGTGAATGATGAGGATGTCGTCTTAGTTCTGGTAAAACAAGTCCCTTGTGGAGGGACAGTGGTTAGGGTACACTAAATATCAATTTCACAAGGAAAATTATAGGAGTATCAGTTAAATACTGTATATATAGCCTAACACTATTGGCTATCATACCGGTAATTGCTATTTCAAGTGTCCATGGGGGATATGTATGCAAACAATTATATCTCATCCAACATTTGTGCAAACTGAATCCAATTTAGCCCTGTACAGGTAAAATGGGAAATGTTTTATTCGTTGTGTTAAAATTAGAAATCAATTTATTGGAAAAGTTTTATTTATTTATTTGATTTTATAAATACCCTGAAATAGGAAAAAACGGAAACTTGTTATAAGTGTTTTGTAAAGGTTTCAGAAAACATTCTGTGCAATTGTTTGGTTAGGTCAGTTCTATTTTTAGAAAGATGACCTAATCTTGTAATGGAATATTTTCTAAGGTCAGTCAAAATTGCTCTTTCTATTAAATTCTGTTGAAAACAAAATGTAATTATGTATATAAAGCATTGCCACCTTCACAGAGTATATTTAGTTACTGTACAGTGACTTGTGTGTTGGAATGATAAAAACTGACGTAATTGGGTTAAAGGCAGTTTTTAATAAGAAATTTCTGCAGTTTGTCTCTATTCACATAGTTCCAATGTAGCCAATTTTAAAACTGTATGTGTATTGTACTTACCGCTTTTCCTATAAAAAAAATGAGGA